GCCACCTACACTATACCATAGACCACGCCACCTACACTATACCATAGACCACGCCACCTACACTATACCATAGACCACGCCACCTACACTATACCATAGACCACGCCACCTACACTATACCATAGACCACGCCACCTACATTATACCATAGACCACGCCACCTACACTATACCATAGACCACGCCACCTACACTATACCATAGACCACGCCACCTACACTATACCATAGACCACGCCACCTACACTATACCATAGACCACGCCACCTACACTATACCATAGACCACGCCACCTACACTATACCATAGGCCACGCCACCTACACTATACCATAGACCACGCCACCTACACTATACCAAAGACCACGCCACCTACACTATACCAAAGACCACGCCACCTACACTATACCAAAGACCACGCCACCTACACTATACCAAAGACCACGCCACCTACACTATACCAAAGACCACGCCACCTACACTATACCAAAGACCACGCCACCTACACTACCAAAGACCACGCCACCTACACTACCAAAGACCACGCCACCTACACTATACCAAAGACCACGCCACTTACACTATACCAAAAACCACGCCACCTACACTATACCAAAGACCACGCCACCTACACTACCATAGACCACGCCACCTACACTACCAAAGACCACGCCACCTACACTATACCAAAGACCACACCACCTACACTACCAAAGACCACTCCACCTACACTACCAAAGACCACGCCACCTACACTACCAAAGACCACGCCACCTACACTATACCAAAGACCACCCCACCTACGCTATACCAAAGACCACGCCACCTACACTACCAAAGACCACGCCACCTACACTATACCAAAGACCACGCCACCTACACTATACCAAAGACCACGCCACCTACACTATACCAAAGACCACGCCACCTACACTACCAAAGACCACGCCACCTACACTACCAAAGACCACGCCACCTACACTATACCAAAGACCACGCCACCTACACTACCAAAGACCACGCCACCTACACTACCAAAGACCACGCCACCTACACTATACCAAAGACCACGCCACCTACACTATACCAAAGACCACGCCACCTACGCTATACCATAGACCACGCCACCTACGCTATACCATAGACCACGCCACCTACGCTACCTGTCTTCCATTTATACACCTCAATCATATCCCCCCTAATTCTACGTCTTTCTAGAGAGTGCAGATTCAGGGCCCTTAGTCTATCCTCATAGGGAAGGTTTCTGATACATGGGATCAACTTTGTCATCCTCCTTTGTACATTTTCCAGAGAATTTATATCCATTCTGTAATACGGTGACCAAAACTGTGCAGCATAATCTAAATGAGGCCTAACCAAGGATGTATAGAGTTGAAGAACAACCTGAGGACTCCTATTATTTATGCTTCTTGATATGAAGCCAAGGATTCTATTAGCTTTATTGCGAACACTTATGCACTGTTGTCTTGGTTTCAGATTACCAAGACAACAGTGCATAAGTGTTCGCATTAAAGCTAATAGAATCCTTGGCTTCATATCAAGAAGCATAAATAATAGGAGTCCTCAGGTTGTTCTTCAACTCTATACATCCTTGGTTAGGCCTCATTTAGATTATGCTGCACAGTTTTGGTCACCGTATTACAGAATGGATATAAATTTTCTGGAAAATGTACAAAGGAGGATGACAAAGTTGATCCCATGTATCAGAAACCTTCCCTACGAGGATAGACTAAGGGCCCTGAATCTGCACTCTCTAGAAAGACGTAGAATTAGGGGGGATATGATTGAGGTGTATAAATGGAAGACAGGAATAAATAAAGGGGATGTAAATAGTGTACTGAAAATATCTAGCCTAGATAGGACTCGCAGCAATGGTTTTAAGTTGGAAAAATTCAGATTCAGGAAGGATATAGGAAAGTACTGGTTTGGTAATAGAGTTGTGGATGAGTGGAACAAACTCCCGAGTACAGTGATAGAGGCCAGAACGTTGTGTAGCTTTAAAAATAGGTTGGATAAATACATGAGTGGATGTGGGTGGGTGTGACTTATATACTGTAGTGATGTGAGGTGAAGCAGGCGGAGGCGGGGTCATAGTGGTACCATCCACTAGTCGAAGTAGGTCTTCGTCCAAAGGTTGAACAAGTGTTGAAGAATTCTTTGTAACAAGATCCCATGATGCTGCAGTGGAAAATGTGAAGTTACAGTTTGAAGTAATCACTGCTTTATCGTAGCTGTATCTGGTCCGTCAGCCATGATGGTGAAGATTGAGACACTTATGCAGCATATGGGAATCTTTATTCAGGAAAAGTTTCGCCACACAGTGGCTTCTTCAGTCCAATACAAAGAGGAAGGCGTAAGGAGAGGAGGAGAATGAGGTAATCAGTCCCTCAACCTGGAGTCGATGTGTTCAGTCCATCAGTCTTGTAGAATGTACAGCATAGGGCCGTAGACGTGGCTTATATACTGTAGTGATGTGAGGTGAAGCAGGCGGAGGCGGGGTCATAGTGGTACCATCCACTAGTCGAAGTAGGTCTTCGTCCAAAGGTTGAACAAGTGTTGAAGAATTCTTTGTAACAAGATCCCATGATGCTGCAGTGTCTGACAGTTGTGATGAATGGTTTGAAAAACCGACAAGTTGAAGATTGAGACACTTATGCAGCATATGGGAATCTTTATTCAGGAAACGTTTCGCCACACACTGGCTTCTTCAGTCCAATACAAAGAGGAAGGCGTAAGGAGAGGAGGAGAATGAGGTAATCAGTCCCTCAACCTGGAGTCGATGTGTTCAGTCCATCAATCTTGTAGAATGTACAGCATAGGGCCGTAGACGTGGCTTATATACTGTAGTGATGTGAGGTGAAGCAGGCGGAGGCGGGGTCATAGTGGTACCATCCACTAGTTGAATAAAGATTCCCATATGCTGCATAAGTGTCTCAATCTTCAACTTGTCGGTTTTTCAAACCATTCATCACAACTGTCAGACACTGCAGCATCATGGGATCTTGTTACAAAGAATTCTTCAACACTTGTTCAACCTTTGGACGAAGACCTACTTCGACTAGTGGATGGTACCACTATGACCCCGCCTCCATCTGCTTCACCTCACATCACTACAGTATATAAGCCACGTCTACGGCCCTATGCTGTACATTCTACAAGACTGATGGACTGAACACATCGACTCCAGGTTGAGGGACTGATTACCTCATTCTCCTCCTCTCCTTACGCCATCCTCTTTGTATTGGACTGAAGAAGCCACTGTGTGGCGAAACTTTTCCTGAATAAAGATTCCCATATGCTGCATAAGTGTCTCAATCTTCAACTTGTCGGTTTTTCAAACCATTCATCACAGCCTCATATGATGGTCTTGGTGGACAATATTTTGCTGCGTTTCTAATAGTTATTCTTGTAATATTTCCTTTTCAAGTTATGGTCCGAGTGGGTGGCGGGGGGCGATGATCCCTCTAACTATTAACATATATTAACAGATAACCGTTTAATGTACGTGTCGTGGCAGTGTAACCAAATCTTGAGTCATGGTGGTGTGATGTGTATCTCCAGCCACCCTCCTTCCCCTCTCCCCCTCCCTCCCTCTTCATTACACTCTGCTGACATCAGAAACCATGTCAAGTTTCAGCTTAAATCCACTTTCTTTTATCTGAAATAATTGATATCTGTGTATCAAGTGCTTTAGTTTATTCGTTTTGTGTCATGTGTAGCTATCATCGCATAGTTGTAATGACAACTACGGTGGCTTGTAGCATGTAAGGTTGGTATCCTGTAGCCTCTAGTCGAGTTCACAGGTTGTGGAGCTTCAAGCTCTTGGGCCTGCCTCTTCACTTTCCTCATGGCTGCGTTTGAGTGGAATTATCATTTGTCATTCGCTTTGAAATTATTTTTTTTATATTTGTGCTATATCACTCTCCAGTGTTTTCCAGTTTTCTCTACTTCCCTTCCTACCAGCCATGTATGTGTTTACCTGGGGCTGCTCTCGGGGGTCACCGCCCCCACGGCTCGGTCGCAGACCAGGCCTCCTGGTTGATGTCATCCGTGATCAGGTTGTCGGCGCCCATCACCCGCAGTGCAACACAATGCAGCATAGCTCGGCTGATCACGAACTAAACACCACGAACTAACTTAAGAGACTTGAAAGCACCTACAGTTTGCCTTCGTAGCTTTTGTTCTGGTACCAACTTTGTTATGGATCTTTGGTATGTTGCCATACATACTAAGTGTCGCGAATGTTGTTCACTTGAGTTTGCTGATTATCAATCCTAAATTTGTTAGGTTAACATGTGTCACTGATGTTATGCACTCCATGTGGACTTCATTTGTGTGTTCATCTAGAGCTTTTCCGTGTATTTTTCTGACCTCCAAGATAAGCCTTTTGTCGCAAACCTTTGAACCTTCTGTAAATTTTGCACATTGTTTATTAGGTAGGGGTTCAGGTTCTTGAACACTCTTCTATGATTTATCTTGCGTATGTTGTATGTGTAATCAGTTTATACTCATCTGGTGATACTTTTGTCAAGACTGTCGTCCCAAGACCCTTTTCTGTTTATTTTCCGTCAGTTTTCTAACCTCGAACCCTCCCCTTCTTTTTCCTAACATGTACTCTGTTTCTGGCTTCCCTTTCCCTCTCATATCCTCTTTATATTATGTTTGTATACGTACATATGCATTTATGTCTGTGCTTTGTGTGTGTGTGTGTGTGTGTGTGTGTGTGTGTGTGTGTGTGTGTGTGTTTAGTAAATAAAACTGAGAAGATTATAACAATGTATGGAGAGAGGGAGGTGGACTGTGCCTTCTACCTGCCTTCTACAACTACATATAATCAGTGACTATGATAAGATGCTGATACAGCGATAACTTAAGATTTTAACCTGATACGGCAGAGTTTAGACGTTAGACAGCTAACTGGTAGACATATGAGTGATGGTGAGAGAGGACATCACATGTGTAGCTGCAGCAGGTAGGTGTATCTCACAACGCTGCTTTCCTCCGACTTGATATATTGTGTGAGCAATGTTGCTACGTGGGTCACACTGCCACACTAACTGACTCACTAAACATGAGATGCCATTGAGAAAACTATGATGGCAGTTAAGTGTATGTACATGCGAGTTCATGAGAAAGGCAGATAGCATAGGACTAGGAGGTCCACGCCAAGACTAGCTGCTGAGAAGAACTATCTACTTTTACCTAGATTACAGACTATCGTGTATTATCTAGGTGTGTATGAGTCAACGATAGAAAAGCAGGAGTGTCATATGTGTGGTGTGCGCCATGGATGTGTTGGGGGTGGGTGTTGAAGGGCTGCCCCACCCCCACCCTCGCCCCCACGCCCTGCATAGCTACACCCGCGCCCGTTTAAAAGCGCTTTGGCCGCTATGCTAAGTTTGGGAGGACTGCCGGAGGTGCCGCCGCCTCAGGGTAATCACCGCCGCTCTAAGAGTGATTGTGGTCTGGACAAGCGTGATGATGTGTCTGACCTGGCCACCCTCAACCCCAACTACCGCAGCACCTCCCCCACCGGCCACCTTCGCGTCCACGCCCACACCCGCCCTAACACGCCCATCATGGTGCGATCTCCGTCCACTTCCTCCATACCAGAGATCTTCATCAGTAGCGAAGATGACATGGGACCAGGCGTGTCTCCCGTAACCCGTCTGGCTGTCTTCTCTCTCGCTGACTTCCTGGAGACCGTCACCCACGCTCATCACCACCCACGGTGAGCCTCCCACCCACGCCACACAAGTGTATTAGGTGTACCCCCTCCGTAGATGAAGGACGGTAGGTTTAAGGAACATTACAGTACTAGGGCCACTTATCATGAACCTCATAGCTGGAATCTTCATCTCATTCGCTTTCTTAAATTTTAGTATGAACAAATATTGAGTTTAAGTACACCGTTGATATTATTGTTCCATTACCATACTATATTATTACTTTTTAGCGACTCTAGTTTATTATAACTACTTAATATGTCACCTTTCTAATTCACAAATAGCCTACAGTTTCGAAGAGACTTTGTACGGTGTTTCAGTCAGTGACTTTATAATGGTCCAAGATGTTCCTAAGTATTTTAAAGTTTTCTTTACAATATTTATTATTAGTCAGTTAATGCAACCGCTACTATGACTTTTATTCTTACACATCTTCCTAATTTTTTCCTACATTCTCCCATAAATACATGTTTACATGTTAATATGTTAATTATGATTACTTTATTTCCTTTATACCAGGACAACAGTTGGCAGTGATTACTGGACACAGAGACCACTGGTTTAATTAAGGATTCCAGTCTGTGTAACATTTAGGTATCATAATGGCGTTATCTTAAATGTTTCCTCATTTTTGTCCTCTTTCTATAACTTTTTCATTATCTTATATAAGAAGCTCAAGCTGTGTGTTGAGCGCTCAAGCTGTGTGTTGAGCGCTCAAGCTGTGTGTTGAAGTATGAGAGAACAGTCTGCGTGATGGTTGTGTTAATAATATCAGATGTTCTAAGCTTGGAAAATGTTAAATCGATGTGGGTAGTCGCAGTGTGAGCGCTTGACTGTATGTTAATAAAACAAATAAACGATGATTAACAATAAATTTTCGGTGTTATAAGTGCATACGCTAGTTGTTTGATAGTATTGCAACAATGATTTATTAGCATTTACAATCTTCTCATGTGAGGAAACGATCATTGTCCTTGACTGTACGCATCATACATCCTAATACGTTGGTATATGCAATAAGGGTGAAGAGTAACATAAGTCATAGCACTGTGAATATGTTGTAAGCAATGTGTAATATGATGATAACCAGCGACCCAGGTGACACATTAGTGCCCGTCCTAATGTGTTGTAACCTAGTCACGTGTTGCCACAAAAGTGATAACTGTAGGTATGTTGGTGAGCCACTAGCAGACAAGAGAGATGCCACTACTCTATAGTATCGGTTATCTTGACTCACGAAATCGTAATGACACGATTGCAAACAAACCATACCACGGGTGGGTTCTAACCCCACCCGCGGTATGGTTTATCGGTTATCCTGTTTTCTTTCCGATGAATTTAGTTGTTCTACTTAGGATTTATTGTATAAATTTTTTATTTAATTAAACACACAGTTTCCATTGGGAATAAAGTTGTTACACAGAACGCAGGCGAGAAAGATACATGATAATATACACTTGGAAAATCCTAGAGGGACTAGTACCAAATTTGCACACGAAAATCACTCCCTGAGTGTTACGTAGGAGATGGGTTTTGTTTATGACTGAAGGAAGCAAAGAATTCCAGCCACATAATTATGGTAATGTTCAGGCAGTTTATTAGTATGCGATTGAGAGGGACTGCACCTCTGAGAATGTCTGAAGAATGTCGAATTCGTCTTCCCACCACCACTACCTCTCAAAATCTTAATGCCTTTTCTTCCAAGTTCGAACCACCCCTGCTTCACAGTACAGCGTTCATTTTCTAATGTGTTTAAGTTCATTTATTTATGAACCATGTGCCTTTTATATATTTGTGGAAAATTGCATTGATCTGAATGTAACTAATTATGTACATAGTAAATGATAACAAAGATAATTATTATTTATCAATGTTACATAGACAAGTAGGAATTTGGGACACCTAGGTCGCAAAAAATGTCCCCCTTCGATACCTACCACTGTCATAACCACAAGTTGCTCTGGACCTATTAATTAAATGAAATATACATACACCAGGAATACTGGTAAATATATAAATTTATGGACTGTATATTAAAAATAATAAATGGTTATATATATACACAATTACATAACAGAAGGAAAATATATCTTAATATCACTCACCAATTTGACTGGAGATTAATGTGTATCATACTCAGAAAACCTCACTCTAACTAAATCTATGAAAATAATGCTGGCCAGAATTACACACAAATCTAGAGAGCTTATCTGAGGTTCCTGGAGCTGTCTTGTCCAGTCGTCTGATATCTCAAGTTATGCAGGAATGCACATCCACCAATTTCGCCTCCTATTTGAGAGGTGTCAACACAATTTTAACCTCTAGAGCACGAAAAATTCTTCCCATTACACCAACGTTTGTACAAAATTCAAAACCAAGATGGTGAGTGTCGTCTGCGCAGACGCAGGCTTTCCGTTTTCTATGACATAATTATTATTAAATACAGTATGGCCATCTGTTTACATATAAATACTGAATTTCTGGAAAATATATACAGTATTTTCCACAATATTGCTGTCAAATCAGTCTTAATAAATTTGTTATTTTAGCTTAGATTACGTTACTTAGCATAAATTTGATGTAATGTACGGTAACCAAATTCAATAAACTTGGAGCGTAAAGGCAACAGGGTATAAATATAATAGACCGGAGTGGCCTAATTTGTTGGAAAGCAAATAATGATATTGTTACGTGCAGTATCTGATTACGGAGCTCTTCTCGCTTGTTTCACCAATCTACTGCAGAAAATTAAAAAAAAAAAACTTGTTTTATTCTTAATCTTTATGTAGGAAATTAAATGCACTTGCTGTTGCTATCAGTTTTCTTGAATCATCGTTTCTGACTTCCTCGTATACACGAGTGACTCGATTTAAAAATAGGACTGTAATGTTTTAGTCCATTTGGATCGTTATCAAGTCACTCTTGACTTTTTTATGGTCCATAGCTGTCTAGTTAATATTTCCAGGTTATGAGTTAGTTGTAAATTGTACGTCACGGTACTGTAGCTGTAATTATCCTCTCTATATAATTTTCATCAAATCTTAGTTTTCGTTACCCGTCTTTATTAATAATTTTGTATCGAATTTTTTGAATTGCCAGCCCTTGTGATGTCTGGTATTTCTTTACTACTTTTTAAGTCTAGTTTGTTTACTACTGTTCCAGTCTAGTTTATTTACCACTCTCCCAGCCTATATTTTTTACCACTTTTCCAGCCTATTGTCTTTACCATTCTTCCAGCCAATTTTCTTTACCATTCTTCCAGCCTAGTATCTTTACCATTCTTCCAGCCTAGTTTCTTTACCATTCTTCCAGCCTAGTATCTTTACCATTCTTCCAGCCTAGTTTCTTTGCCACTCTTCCAGCCTAGTTTCCTATCATATACATCTCGGTGTTAAACTGTCTGCCCTCGCTGTTAACCCCCTGTGGCACAGTCGCAGACCAGACCACCTGGTTGTTGGGCTGATCGACCAGGCTGTTGGTGCTGGCTGCACATTACATTGTATGCACCACAGTCCTGTTGATCAGGAAGTGGTTTAAGGAAATTATCAAGTTTCCTCTTGAAGACTGCCGGAAGTATGTTGGTAATTTCCTTGATGCACAAAGGGAGGGCGCTAAAATGTCGAGGACCTCTTGCACCTGTCGTATTCTATCTTGTATATATTTAGCGCAGTTGCTTTTAGTCACATTATGCCAGCTCTTGATTTCAAGGAATTAGAGCGACCCTACCCTTGGATTAAACCTGATTAAATTCCCATACCCCAGGCGTTGTTTGACGCTTGCACATAAAATATAATAATATGCTTTGCTTCAGGTGTGAAATATTAGCCCCCCACCCTCCCCTTCCTCCTACCATCCCTCCCTCCTCCCCCCCTCCTCCTCTCCTCCTCCTCCTCCTCCTCCTCCTCCTCCTCCCTCCTCCTCCTCCTCCTCCTCCTCCTCCTCCTCCTCCTCCTCCTCCTCCTCCTCCTCCTCCTCCTCCTCCTCCCTCCTCCTCCTCCCTCCTCCTCCCCCTCCTCCTCCTCCCTCCTCCTCCTCCCTCCTCCTCCTCCCTCCTCCTCCTCCCTCCTCCTCCTCCCTCCTCCTCCTCCCTCTCCTCCTCCTCCTCCTCCTCCTCCTCCTCCTCCTCCTCCTCCTCCTCCCTCCTCCTCCTCCCTCCTCCTCCTCCCTCCTCCTCCTCCCTCCTCCTCCTCCTCCTCCTCCTCCTCCTCCTCCTCCTCCTCCTCCCTCCCTCCTCCCATGGGGTCTCACCTTTAAGCCTCAGCAGCTTCATCATTCTGCCCTCTGTATTTTCAAATACTTTTTTTGTTTTAATAGATTTGTGTTAATTTTAATGTATTTTGTTATATATTTTAATAGCTTTGTTATTGACCCTTAAATTGCCTGTGACAAATTTACACCAACCAGGATACTGCCTAAATACGCCTAAATTCTAGAGCATCCAAAATGGTCCCGATTGGCCTAGTTAGGACATCAGAGAAAACAGGTCTGTGCCATCAGTATACACTATATACAAAAAATGGGTTATCTTAAGTAATTTACTCACATTACACTATGTGTGATAACTGTACATATGTGATCCTTTGCCTAAATAAACTTATTTACATTGTGGGGGTCAATAAATGCGATTTATATTCGTTTTGCGTCTATTCAGTATTTATGTACATGTTTTGTGTTTACACATTTTGTGTTGACGTAGGTTTAGTGTGATTCATCAATAAATATTAGTAAAATATATGAAAACAAAGATATAGGTGTAAAACATATGGGCCATAAAAAAATGAGAAAAATATGTATAAAAAAATATCGTAAATGTTAAAACAGGAACTTCGTCCTTGTGGCAAGCACTTGTGTTGCTATAAAAGTCATAAACTTCACCTTCAAACCTTCATATCTCCATAAGTAATAATCATATTTCACTCGGTCTTGCTTTATTACACTTCTAAAATTTCTGGCACCAGAAGCACATTTGGCTATTTAAGGGATAATTTTAAGACATTCCTTATTTTAATACATTTCTGACTTATATTTTTTAATGTTTCTGACTAGTATATTTTTAATATCTTCTTGGACTGTGAGTGCTATGACACATTGTTAGTATGTTGCTTTCAGATTTTCTTGAGTTATTTATTATACTAGCCTAATACATATAGCTTTCCACACAAATGAAGTTAATTATGCTAGTAAAAAATTTGGAGTAAAAAATGTTTGGGTTTTTTGAGACATGAGGAACATAACCCTATTTTTCCAATATGCTTTTCAGTCCATAAGTTGCAGAAATCATTGGTAGTGTAGTTTTTAGGAACATAACCAGTGGAAATTATGAATATCCACTGTATATATAGACAGGCCATTGAATTTGAAAGACACACAGGCATCCTACAAATATCACAACATCTGGATATGTTGTACTGGGAAATAGTTTTGTTTGCCAGGAGTATGTAACGTTTATTGCTGCTCATCCAGGTAACATGAAATCATGATGCCATTGAAAATACTACTCTCATAGCATTCCCTATGAATGTAAGAATAATAATAATAATGAACATTCAAAGCTCCTGGGAAGGAATTGAGAGACTCCAATACTTTCAGTATTTCCTCCATTCCTCCAATTATTTTTTTATGAATGATCATATTTATTATGTTTATTATTTGTGTACAGAAAGAAGTGCAGTTCGAGTGAGGTGAGCGGCCCGGGTCATGGCGGACGACGGAGATCTCCTCTGGCTGCCCGCAAGTCTACTCCAGTGGGAGGAGGCGCCAGTGCAGGTAGTGGAGGTGCTGCCGAGGGAAACCCCTCCATCAGCACCACTACGAGCACCACCCCAGGAGGCAGTGCCCTAGCAGGTGTAGCAGGGCAGAGCACACAACACCAGGCCAGAACTACTGGTAGTGGTGGAGGGGCAACCCGCCTGCCAAATGCGGCAGCACATCATGATGACGCAGCGGTGCACTCTTCCAATGAGGACTGTGATGCTGCAAGTAGCCCTTCTCATATATATTATTTTACCCTCTTATTTGACATTATTAAGGCAATGGTGGACGACTTTCCTTTGGCAGATTTTGGCAATTAATTATAGTTTGAGCTATACTGTATTAAGTTAGTTTTACATTCGAGTTATTATTTTGTGCAAATGGTAAAACACGTAACCTAACCTAATAAAGCTCACTTAACCCAACCTAATAAAGCTCACTTAACCCAACCTAATAAAGCTCACTTAACCCAACCTAAAATAACCTGACATAACTTAATCCCCCATCACTCCTGATGCATCTTTGGCTACATTCAGACAGGAGCATGACACGATTCAGTACTAACCATTGATTGGCTCAGACATGCTGCTTATTCAAAATATATGTTCTGTTTTTGCTAATACAGTACATGTATATTTCAAAATAACAATTTTCACAAGATATGCTTAATTATTCAGTGGTTTGCACACGTTTATATTGCAAAATGTAAATTAATGCCCAAATTCTGCCGGGTAGTAGTCACAAGTTAGTCATTTTTAATTAGCTTTCTGAGGCTCATTACCCTCCATGGCTTGTCTCGGACCAGGTCTAATCATTCTACCCACTTTTCCAGTTATTTCTTTTACATGGATTTAATGTACTATTACACCATGATCACAGTTGTCAAAGTCTTTGTATACTACATCTACATTCATTTTGCCTTCCAGTGCATCCACAACCACTCGTAATTGTTTCACACTTGTGAAAAGCAAGGGCAACCTACTCTAAACCCACATTTCCCTGGAGTGTACACTTGCTGTGATTCCATGCATTTAGATATCATACTTCTTAAGACTCTTTCAAAGATTCTGAAAATGAAGGATAGTGTTATCGGTCAGTAGTTTTATGCAATTGCTTTGTTGCAAGCTTTGTAAAGTAGGGTAATATCTGTGAGTTTTAATTAGTGTGAGGTGACCCTAGTGTCCAGACTGTCTCTGTAGAATATTTAATGTAGTTAGTATTTTTTTTCTTTATAAATATGGAGTTTCGTAAACCTAGGCCCAGGGTAGAGTGCAGAGACATATTGTCAGTGGTTTCAACAAAGCTATGTAGGTGTTAGGGTTTTAATATATTTTCATCTAATCAAGTACACCTACCATCCAACTTACGACCTGCTCGACTTACGACCACTCGACTTATGACCGTGTTTTTTATGCCAAATTTCTGTGAAATAAACAACTGTTTGTGTTGTACACAGTGTTTATCCTAAACCTTACAGTATAAAATACAGTACTAATAACATAAAATGTAAAGTAAAACATGAAATACCAAAATAAAACAATAAAATAAAGTCATTACAAAAATGTTTTGTTGATATTCAGTAGTAAAGTTCGACTTACGACCATTTCGACTTACGACCGGTTTCTCGGAACCGAACTCGGTCGTAAGTCGGATGGTAGGTGTATTTTAGGCAATATATTTTTTCTCCGTTTTCATCCGATAGTAATGGGTAAAGTAATATGATCATTTATAATCCTTTCTCTTTATTTCATTTACTCACAATTTGCTAGCTAGCAGTGAGTATCATGAATACCATTGTACCAAGAAATATTATTTGTGATAAATGCCAGTTTTAGAATATGTGGTTAATGTGCAGTGATGCCACTATTGAAAATTGGGAAATGTTGTCAGACTGCATGAGACTGTTAATGTCTAGAAATTTGTAGCTGTGCAAAATTTTAGATCCAGATTTAAAATGTTGGAACTTATTAGTCGAGATAGTTGCTTAAAGTTGTGCACACAGATATTCACTCAAAATCCTAGGCAAACCTTGATTGGTTATTTTTTTTTTTTTTTGTGTTCATGATGCCATTGCTGTAGATATCACTATGTATATACGTAGTTTAAAATATATTTTATATTTCAGGAAACAGTACCGTCATCAGGGGTGTCCAATGGCTCCGGGGAATTGGTAGATACTTTGCGAGTGTGTGGAGCAGATATTGGGGCTGTGGATGATGGGGAGGAGCATACTCCACATGTACAGCGCACACGAGAGGCCTTGGAGCACATCCAGGCTAAAATACAGAAAACTAGAGATCTCATTAAAGAAGAACAAAAAGCTCGAGATGGTAAATATGCTTGATATAGAACTAATTATGTATTAATGTCCAGAGATGTCCATTGTCAGAAATGTCTTTAGTATTCACTGTTATGAGTGCTTCTTGACAATGGGGTTACATTCTGATGAACCCATCATAAATTGAAAATATTTTAAGTTGAATATGAATATATGGAGGGAGAGAGTATGGAGGAGGTGAACGTATTCAGATATTTGGGAGTGGACGTGTCAGTGGATGGGTCTATGAAAGATGAGGTGAATCATAGAATTGATGAGGGAAAAAGAGTGAGTGGTGCACTTAGGAGTCTGTGGAGACAAAGAACTTTGTCCTTGAAGGCAAAGAGGGGAATGTATGAGAGTATAGTTTTACCAACGCTCTTATATGGGTGTGAAGCGTGGGTGATGAATGTTGCAGCGAGGAGAAGGCTGGAGGCAGTGGAGATGTCATGTCTGAGGGCAATGTGTGGTGTGAATATAATGCAGAGAATTCGTAGTTTGGAAGTTAGGAGGAGGTGCGGGATTACCAAAACTGTTGTCCAGAGGGCTGAGGAAGGGTTGTTGAGGTGGTTCGGACATGTAGAGAGAATGGAGCGAAACAGAATGACTTCAAGAGTGTATCAGTCTGTAGTGGAAGGAAGGCGGGGTAGGGGTCGGCCTAGGAAAGGTTGGAGGGAGGGGGTAAAGGAGGTTTTGTGTGCGAGGGGCTTGGACTTCCAGCAGGCGTGCGTGAGCGTGTTTGATAGGAGTGAATGGAGACAAATGGTTTTTAATACTTGACGTGCTGTTGGAGTGTGAGCAAAGTAACAGTTATGAAGGGATTCAGGGAAACCGGCAGGCCGGACTTGAGTCCTGGAGATGGGAAGTACAGTGCCTGCACTCTGAAGGAGGGGTGTTAATGTTGCAGTTTAAAAACTGTAGTGTAAAGCACCCTTCTGGCAAGACAGTGATAGAGTGAATGATGGTGAAAGTTTTTCTTTTTCGGGCCACCCTGCCTTGGTGGGAATCGGCCAGTGTGATAAAAAAAAAAAAAAAAATGAACATATGATAAATAATTAAGTAAATAGCTGCTGTCACTGAATAAATAAATAAATAATTACTATAACTAACTAAATACCAGTATTGAAAAGTAAATAAATGAATACAGCCTCTCCTCACTTAACGACCGAGTTCTGTTCCTAAGACCATGTCAGTAAACAAATTCGTCGCTAAGTGAGAAGCATACTGTAATGGGAGTGGGTTTGTGTCAGCTATCTCTGATATTGTTTTAATGTCACATTTGCACAATTTATAACATTTCTGGTATTTTTTAAATGTTCATACAGCAGTGTAGTATATACTGTAATAAACAGAATAGAGAAAATCAGCTCTAATATACAGTGGTACCTCGAGTTTCGAACAGCTCCCGACTCGAACAGTTATGTAAGTGTATTTTTGTAAGTGCTTTTGTAAGTGTATTTTGGGGGTCTGAAACGAACTAATCTAATTTACGTTATTTCTTATGGGAACAAATTAGTTCGGTAACAGCACTCGAACAGCCTTCTGGAATGAATTATGACTGAAACTCATGGTACCACTGTACATTATTTAGGTGTGCATACAGGTCAGAGAACCCGTCGTAAGTCTGAGTCATCAGTAAATGAGTACGACGCTAAGTGAGGAGAGGCTATACAAGTTTATCATATCAGTAAATGTACAGTACTGGATGTGCATCACTATTGCACCATCGTAAAGTTGAAATATCGTAAGTTGAACCATCGTAAAGCGAAGAACATCTGTATTACAAAATTGGAGAAAAAAATATGTGTAGTAAGACTATGTGTTACAACATAGAAAGCAAGGAGCAGGAAGTTTGGAGACTTCTGACAAGAAAGTTATTGAATGAATAATGGAAAATGTTTTCTTTACTTTGGTGGGAGATGGCCGATATGACAACAATAACAAAACAGCAAGAAGACACAAGAAACAAGAATCATTAACAAGCAACAACAAGAAACAAGAAGTAACCATAAAAAAACAAAAAACAAGAAACTACATACAAGAAACAACAGCAATAAGCACAAGAAAACAACAAGAACAAAACAAAATGCTGCTTGTGGGAATATGGCTGATATGTTAATAATTCCTTTGGGATCTCTTCTATAATATAATGGGTTAGCATTTATAGAACCACCTTCAGACATATAAGTCAGCTTGAAGCATTCAGTTGAAACCTTTGCCAAGTGATTCTACCTGCTGGTTTAGCTTTAAATTGTCATTTACTTGGTGGGAGAAAAGGATATGTTTGGCTACAGTAAGTTCCAATATGAGACATTTGTGGGTAAGATACAAAAGCACAAATAAATGAAATGAGGATAATTAAATTTTTCTTAGTAAAGGGTAACAGGGAGGGGTGGAGATAGTGTAGCAAACTTTTGGGGGTTACTGCACCATTTATGGGAAGGTAAAGATCACAGATCAGTCCATCTGCTACAGCATAAAAATATATCATGTCACTTAAGAATGTTTAATTTTAGTATTAAACATTTTGTTACAGAAAATGTCAATGAATACCTCAAACTTGCTGGTAATGCCGACCGACAACAAATTGCTCGCATCAAAGCAGTGTTTGAGAAGAAGAACCAGAAATCGGCTGCTCTGATTCAACAACTTCAAAAGAAGCTAGAAAATTACCAGAAGAGGTTACGTGAAATTGAAACTCATGGCTTGATTGTTGCCCACCGACAGCCCAAAGAAGTGCTGAGAGACATGGGTCAGGGCCTCAAGTAAGTACTCAGATCCATGCCAGAGGCATACTAATGACAGCTTAACTGACATACTAATTCTGACTAATATCTGTTTGTATGTATATTGTACATATGCTCATTGTGTGTAATTTTGTTCATTTTTGTCATGCCATATTTCATGAGCAAAACTTTAGCAGTACAATAGCTTTTACTAGATTACACTAAGATGGTGATATAAGGCATTCTTTCTTTCAGTGAGAGAGCAATGCATTCCTTAAGCATTATACTTTTGCAACATCTGCTACTTTTGCATTCAGAAAATTACCTGACTGCAAGTTTTGTTTTACCATACATAATATTGATGTTATCTATGACTGGATTTGCAGGTTCTTGACTAAAGTATATTATTATTTCATTATTTGTTAGTTTGGCTCATGGAGTCGTAACTTGCATATGATATGCTAAGATTTGTGAGATTCACTTCTGGAACCCCAACTTGTGTATCATATGTATGTCATGCATGATTAGCATACAGTGTTACAACTCTTCAGATGGATATAGTCTGTTGGTGGACCCCCGTATACTACAACTAATAAACCGCACGAAAATGTTTGACTTCCATAATACAACGTCTTAAGTGTGGGAGGTCACTTGATTCGTGGAATCCTTACTGCAAATTCACTGTCCATACTGAAAGTGTATTGTATTTATATACCAAACAAGATAAAAGCTGTTGTGCATTTGAGCTTCTGTGAGTGCAAAAGTAATACTGTAAAATATTTTGTCATGACTTAATATGTATCTGTTTGGCTATATATATTGATCAGTTGTTAATCTCATATCAGAAATTTAATTACCAGGATAATGGGGATTTCCTATAGATCCTGCACTTGCCAGGAAATAAGTGTTTGATTTGGTGCTCAAGAGAAGTTGAGCAAAAGTTTGAGAGAATCAGTCAATATGAAACAACTAGAACTTGAGTTATGGAAATATTAGAAATACAGTAGATGAATAAAAAAGTACTATATGAGATATTATCAGAAATTCCTGGACTACTGCCAAAAGAAAATATATGTATATATAGGCTTACCTCATCACCTAGTTGAAGTTGTCTTTCTCAAAGTACTCTCCTTGGGAGACTATACACTGATCCCAGCACCTCTGCCACTTCTCAAATTATTTCGGGAACTTTTTTTTCCCCCCTAATGGTGTCTGGCAAGGCCTGCGATTTTGCTTGAATCTCCTCCATGTCATTAAGATGCCACCTCTTGAGTGCCATTTTATTTTTGGGAAGAGAAGGAAGTCACAGGGGGGCTAACTCTGAGGAGTAGGAAGGAGGGGACAACTGCCATGTTTGTCAATGTTGGCATCTGTTTTTGATGTTGATGGACGACCAGATTGTTCATCGTCATCAACTGACATTCATTTTTCTTTGAATCAAGAAAACTATTCTAAGTACTGTGACTCATTGCTTCATCATCGAATGCTTGCTGAAGCATTTTGCAAATTTCATTAGCCATTTTACTGAGCTGAAACAGAATTAGGCTACTTCACAAAAGACTATACGTACTGCACAACATGATCTATGCTGCCACCACATTTCAACCAGGAAGTGCACAAAAATTCAGATTCGGAAATTTTTTGAGAGTACCTTGTACATAGGAAGAGGTGACTCGCGAAATCATAAGAACACGAGTGCAGACAGATCGCAGAATGGATGAGTCTTGAATCCATGGCAAGTGAGTTCTAGCACACCAGCTTGTGAGTTTAGGACTTGCTTCCCATGGGTTCATGCTCCCACTTGTACCATGATTTGTTTCATAGGTAGAGGATGGGTAAAAATTTCACAACATTTATTTTGGGTATTGTGAATAATTTCTTGCGGGAAAAACAGAATTATAGTACGTATAGAGTAAACCCTGTTTATTAAGGTCCAGTGCACACTTATATTATGCACAGTACACACACTTTGATGGAGTCTGTTAAATGTGACTAATTTCATCTCTAACTCAAAAAGTTACAACCTTCTCCCAAGATAGTTCACTAGGGGAGTTTTACCTTATTAAGAAACTCATAAAATGCACTTTCATTTATTTTTTTTCTGACTCCTCTGAGGATGTGTATATAAACATGTTATTTTTTACTGTGGTTTGTGTTTTTTTTTTTTTATATATTTGCACTCAGGTATTTTAATGTGATACTTTCCATGTACATACGTATATAAATGTGCTTAACAATTCACAAATGGGTTAACTTTTACAAACATTATCTCTGTCCATAGCAGGATTCAAACCTGCACACACACTGTATCAAAGTACTTTGTACTTTGATACAGTGTACAAAGTACTTTGTATCAAAGTACTTTGTACTTTGATACAGTGTGTTCAAGTTTGAATCCTGCTGTGGACTGAGAAATAATGTTTGTATATAAATGTATAATCTATTAATAAAAATATAGTAAGTCAAGTATAGTTGTGTACGGCAATTTGCACATAAAGGAAAGTGTCAGAGTACGTTATTCTTTCTTTAGGACGGTAATCAGTAAGCCTAAGGAGATAGCACACCTGATCAAAAACAAATTTGGTTCTGCGGACAATATCAAGGAACTAGCAGGGGAGGAGGAGCGCGATGAAGAGCGAGTGCACCACGGGTCGGCCACATTACCCGTAGGTGCAAGCTTGGTACCCCCTACATCCACTAATCAAGGGAGCAATCTCCCAAGGTAACTTGCCTTAGTATTTGTGTTAATAATGTTTAGTAAGTGTTAATAATGTTTAGAAAGTGTTTTCGAAATCTAGCTAAAATTATTCATTTGGTGAAGTAATTCCAGAACTAAGAGGCAGTGATAGCCAAAGCAAATGTTGAAAGCTTTGTGTCGGGTAAGCCTCAAAACAGCTATACTGTAGCTAAGGGCTTTATCTAAGTGGGCATTTGTTGCCATATATAACTGTAAGTTTCAGATGTTGAATGACTTAGCATTCAATAAAGCTGGTCTCTTCCTGAATAGAAAAAAAAATTGAATTCAACTGAAAATATAAGCCGGAGTTGGTGGCAGCAAGAGAGAATGAAGGTGATGAGAAAGCAAGGATACACAAATGATATGAAGTCTTGTCACATAAATTTGATTTTCCTGTAGTAATATAATTTTTATTTAATAACAGTGGGAGTAAATGTACTTAGAAATAAGTCTAGTAATATTTTATTTTAGATTTAATCAAATTATAGCTAATGTTACACATAAATGTAAAATTTAAGTACTGTACCTGTTCTGTATTTTTATGTACTGTATACATGAAGCAGTTTTATGAAGGGATTCAGGGAAATTGGTTAGGTGGAGTTGAGTCCTAGAGGTGGAAAGGACGGTGCCTCCACTCTGCAGGAAGGGTTTGAAAGTTGCAGTTGGAGGGGTAATCTGATTGTGATGTCAACACATTTCTGGAAAAATGGCAATGAGTGAATGTTGGTAAATGTGTGTTCTTTAGGTCACCCTGTCTTGGCAGGAGATGGGCATTGTTAAAGAATGAAGCATTTTCTTAATTTTTTTTAATAAAATACCAGTATAGTATGATATTACTTTATCAATTTCTACATCTTAATCATAGGACAACAAATGTGTTCAGTTGTTTTTAACTGTGATGGAAAACTTAGCTCTGCTTAGCCATCAGTGCTGGTATGCTAGCAGCTGCTTCGTCGCTGAACAGGACAACACCTGGCAGACACTCTCGTCAATGGATACTTTGTTTCCTGATTAACACAGCACATTACTTGTATACCTCATAAGACAACTTTATTCCCCAAGAAATTTTTCATTACAACAGTATGTTAAAAGTAAATTGTAAATCTTACAAGGAAGAATCCATATTTATGACATTCTAAAGCTAGGAATAATACTAACAGTATAGAAACACAAAATATATTGGACATTATATATTAAATGACTTATAAAATATATTTATTCTCTATGGGGGAAGTGGAGAAGAATCCTTCCTCTGTCAGCCACGTATGTCATAGGAGGTGACTAAAATGCTGGGAGCAAGGGGCTTGTAACCCCTTCTGTATAAATTACTAAATGTAAAGAGAAGAAAAAACATCCCTTTCTTCATTTTTTTTTGTTGAAAAATTAAAATCTTAGCAGAAAGAAAGTATCATAGCTAGTAAAGTACATTTTAATTAAAGAGGTGCATGTTATGCATACGTTTACAAAGTTGAGGTTATGACTGTAATAACTGGTGTAGTTAGGCAAGGTTCGCCAGGGAAATGGTTTAGGTCTTGTTCATTAGTTCTTTCTTTCTTATCTTTTACCTGTGGGTGTGTTTCTTGCAATACTTTGTCTGTCTTGAATAAAACAGTGAGTAATTATTCACCTTCATTAAAAGGAGATTGTTTTGATCTTAGGTAAAAGGCCTTGACACTTTAGTTAGGCACTCATTGTATTCCTGAATGAGGTGTTATTGAAATTATATGAAATCTGCACAAGACAGGTTGAGTATGATAATGGTATACAACACTGACAAGTTAATAAGTAAGACACGTGCAACAGTTAGGTGTGTCTATTCCAAAACACTTTGCATACACAGTAAGCTTCTGCAGTCAAGTACACGTACAGAGGAGAGACAAGTAGTAGTAGAGATGTAAAGACATTATAATCAGTCCCTCACCCTTGAAGATGTATTGATGGTGATAGACTGATTACATTGTCTTTACATCTCTACTGCTTTTGCTGCCTCCTCTATATTCAACTGAAGAAGTCTACTGTGTAGGCAAAACGTTTCAGAATAAAGACACCTAATTGTTGTACACTGTCTTACTTATCACAAGACTGGTTGTTTACCTCCTGATTTTCCTAACATGAGTGCTCCTTTAATTTCACTCTGCTTTATGCTGATTTTCAACTCTTGATAAGTGTTTTGATTGATAATGTCATGGAAAAATGAGTTTTAAAATGAGTTGTTGTTCCATTTCATCTGCTTATTTGTGCATGGGATCAGTAAGCTGTGTAACCATGCATTGTGTGTTTACTAGTCTGTATTGCCTTTTTTTCTGTTTTTTTTTTTTTTTTTCATTCAGAGAATTTGCATCTCAGTATGGTTCAGTTTCCCTGATGTTTAAAAAAAAACATTTAATGTTAATATGCTGGGTCAGTGTGTCTTGCATGGTTTGTTGGTAAACATGCTTTTGCTAGTTCTTCAGTTTTTGCTAGTAAGGTATTTTTCAACTGTATTGTAGGTTGCAGGCTGAATGGAGAGTGTCATATTTTTTTAATCATTCATTTTATTATCAGTTCTTGGTTACTTAGGAAATTTGCCATGACAGAATTTTCTCCAAGTTTCATCAAACTACCTGAAGTTAGGAAACATATCCCTAGGATCAGTTATTTTGTTTAAGGCTTAGTTGGCAGGGATGGCTGTAGTTGGCAAGGATGGCTGTAGTTGGCAAGGATGGCTGTAGTTGGCAAGGATGACTAGTTTGCAAGGATGGCTGTAGTTGGCAGGGATGGCTGTAGTTGGCAAGGATTACTGTAGTTGGCAGGGATGGCTGTGAGGGAAGCATACAGGCCCAGGCTGTTAATGGGAGTAGCTGATAGAGACTTTTTGTTTTTATCTGTGGTTGTATGCATCCTGTAATTATTTTTGGTGCTTATTGTCAGATGTCTTCCTTTACGAAATGGCCAGATGATTTAATATTTGAGGGTAGCATAATAGTCACCTCACTCAGTCTTGCTTAGTGGTATGGTTTGCCTGGCAGCAGGGTGGCAGTGTTGGGTGGGTGGTTTGGGGCTAAAGCCTTGTTAGTTTAGGTAGCTTTTGGCAAAATTTGTTTTTTTGCAATTTTTATGCCATCTTAGGTCTCTGCATACTTTCTTGCTGTATGTCTTGATGTCAGGCCATTCTAGAAAAATTGGTTAAAATAAAGAAACTAAATTGTGGGGCTAATACTCATGGTAATTAGGACATTTTTCTGTTTTAATAAATCTATTTACATACTATATATCCTTAAATTGTACATCATAACCAAATTAACACTGAAATAACACAAATTAAAATTTTTTTTAAAATAATTAAATACAGAATTATTAAGAAATTGCAATAGGTGACTGACAATGTTTTGAGAAGCAACAGTTGAAATGGTAAAAATTCCAGTCAGATAAATGCTGGTAGTAATCTTGGTTTCTTGGCAAGACCATTATCACTCCTGTTCAGTGTGCGATGGTATTTCCATTTTGTCTTAGCAATTTCTCTTCATCTTATGAAGATTCAAGAGCTTTAATGAATTCTTTCATTAGAAGACCACTGCTGGTCAAGATGCCTATATACTGTGCTGTACACTGTAGCTCTGCAACAGTACTGTGCTGAACACTGCAGCTCTGCAACAATACTGTGCTATACACTGCAGCTCTGCATCAATAACTGTGCTGTACACTGTAGCTCTGCAACAATACTGTGCTGTACACTGCAGCTCTGCAGCAATACCTGCTTGTGCAAGATGAAGTTAAGCAGTAATTTGGCATCCACCAAATTAACAATAGTTGTGCATGCTTAGTAAGCTTATTATATCACACTCGTTTTGACTTAGTATAAGTACGTATTTACTATGAAAGATTTTATTTATCCTTGGCAAGGTAAAAATTAACAAAGTTTTATCAACAGGTAAGAAAGCATTGATACTGTAGCATTTTTTGCACTTGTGCTTTTTTTTATTTCAACAAGTCGGCTGTCTCCCACCGAGGCACTGTGACCCAAAAAGAAAGAAAATCCCCAAAAAGAAAATACTTTCATCATTCAACACTTTCACCCCACTCATACATAATCATTGTTTTTGCAGAGGCATCCAGATACAACAGTTATATATATACATTTTTTTTTTTTCAACAAGTCGGCCGTCTCCCACCGAGGCAGGGTGACCCAGAAAAGAAAGAAAATCCCCAAAAAGAAAATGCTTTCATCATCATTCAACACTTTCACCACACTCACACATAATCACTGTTTTTGCAGAGGTGCTCAGAATACAACAGTTTAGAAGCATATACGTATAAAGATACACAACATATCCCTCCAAACTGCCAATATCCCAAACCCCTCCTTTAAAGTGCAGGCATTGTACTTCCCATTTCCAGGACTCAAGTCCGACTATATGAAAATAACCGGTTTCCCTGAATCCCTTCACTAAATATTACCCAAGTACCATTCGTCTCCATTCACTCCTATCTAACACTCTCACGCACGCTTGCTGGAAGTCCAAGCCCCTTGCCCACAAAACCTCCTTTACCCCCTCTCTCCAACCCTTTCGAAGACGACCCCTACCTCGCCTTCCTTCCCCTATAGATTTATATGCTTTCCATGTCATTCTACTTTGATCCATTCTCTCTAAATGACCAAACCACCTCAACAACCCCTCTTCTGCCCTCTGACTAGTACTTTTATTAACTCCATACCTTTTCCTAATTTCCACACTCCGAATTTTCTGCATAATATTTACACCACACATTGCCCTTAGACAGGACATCTCCACTGCCTCCAACCGTCTCCTCACTGCTGCATTTACCACCCAAGCTTCACACCCATATAAGAGTGTTGGTACTACTATACTTTCATACATTCCCTTCTTTGCCTCCATAGATAACTTTTTTGACTCCACATATACCTCAATGCTCCACTCACCTTTTTTCCCTCATCAATTCTATGATTAACCTCATCCTTCATAAATCCATCCGCCGACACGTCAACTCCCAAGTATCTGAAAACATTCACTTCTTCCATACTCCTCCTCCCCAATTTGATATCCAATTTTTCTTTATCTAAATCATTTGATACCCTCATCACCTTACTCTTTTCTATGTTTACTTTCAACTTTCTACCTTTACATACATTCCCAAACTCATCCACTAACCTTTTGTAACCATTTGTCTTCATTCACTCCTATCTAACACGCTCACACACGCTTGCTGGAAGTCCAAGCCCCTCACCCACAAAGCCTCCTTTACCCCCTCCCTCCAGCCTTTTCAAGGACAACCCCTACCCCGCCTTCCTTCCCCTACAGATTTATACGCTCTCCATGTCATTCTACTTTGATCCATTCTCTCTCAATGACCAAACCACCTCAACAACCCCTCTTCAGCCCTCTGACTAATACTTTTATTAACTCCACACCTTCTCCTAATTTCCACACTCCGAATTTTCTGCATAATATTTACACCACACACTGCCCTTAGACAGGACATCTCCACTGCCTCCAACTGCCTCCTTGCTGCAGCATTTATAACCCAAGCTTCACACCCATATGAGAGAGTTGGTACCACTAAACTTTCATACATTCCTTTCTTTGCCTCTATAGATGACATTTTTTGTCTCCACATATACCTCAATGCACCACTCACCTCTTTTCCTTCATCAATTCTATGGTTAACCTCATCCTTCATAAACCCATCTGCTGACACGTCAACTCCCAAATACATATCTGAAAACATTCACTTATACTATTATACTTTATTAATGATTGTACAGTATGCATCATAAATATGCATGCCTTTAAGTACTCCTTTAGAAGACTATTTGCCTGAAAGATTTGAGAAATGCCAGGGCAACTTTTGTATAGGATCTGGTACTTCTTGTCATACTGCCTAAGACGTGAAGAATTGACTTAATTATTGTGATTTTTCCATACTTTAATGACTGGCTTGGAAACTCACTAAACTTCAGTGTGATAGAGAACATTTGGAAACTTATTAAGTGTAAGCTTTGGACCTTGGATATGTCCTCTAACCCCAAAATCTTGAGTGTTATTAAGCAAGTGTGGAAAGGTATTGATTTTTTTTTTATCCTCCACAAGTTAGCCTCATCAGTACATAGGAGACTTTAGGAGTTCATCAAGAGGAAGGGTAATTTTATGAAATACTGGTTTAGGTGAGGAAAATGTTCATATTTCAGTATTACAGTGTGCAGCCTTGTCTGTGTAATCTGTTTATGCATGTTCCCCTTTATGATGCCTGCTGTACTTGTCATTTATAAAATTAATCAAAGAGCATTCTTCTGATATTTGCTCTATATAGGTTTCTCTAAATTACATTTCTCAAAGTGGGACAGAAAAATTACATGTAAAAATTTGAGATAGATAAAAAAATGGATTGACTAAAAGTAGTTGTTACTGGATCCATAAACTTTTTATTGTAGTCTTGTTTGCAAATTATGTGAAGCTTTGTTATTTGTGTGTGTATCAATACATAAACAAAATATTTACATGATAAAATACAAAATTTAAGTAAAATACTAAGTACTGTTATAAGAAGTTTTGTAATTTTTCTCCCTATTACAGCATTTTTTTTATTTTAAGAACCACAACTTGTAAAATGTTTTCTATGATGTAAGATAATTGCAAGTTACTCTATCAAGGGCTAAGTTCTAACTACTTTACATTGATTTATTTGCAGCAGTCACCACCAGAGTTCTTCAGCTCAAGGTGCAGGTGGCAGCAGCAGTGGTGGGGGACACCATGGTAGTAAGATAGGCTCAGAGGAAGGCTCTGAGTGTAATTCTTCCATCACCAGTGAGAGCGTTCCAGGGGGCAGCACTACCTTAGCTCACCTGGCATCACCCAGAAACCACCATAGTCAGGTAGTGCTTCACTTTTGTGTCTTCCTTATTTGCCTACTTGTCTATGGATGGTGGAGCTTTTGATCTTGACCACTAATCAGCCTCAGTCAGAGACTGAAGAGGGTTTCTGACTGATTTCGAAATATACAGTTCCCTCTCATTTTATTTTCCTATTCAAGTGGTTTCTTACTTTCCAATGATCAGTGTTCATAACACTTCAATCCATGTATCTTTTCATGAAATAACTGAAGCTTTGTCTACAAGAAACAAACTTATAATTATGAATTACAACTTCTGTTCTGTTTACAGTTAACTAGTGTAGATTTCTATGGTTTACCTGGAGGGACAACTGTTGAACACTTGTTGCTTGAGCTACGGGAGAGCAGAGAAGAATCAGCACGGCTCAGAGAAGAGATCGACACAATTAAAGTAAGTCCAGTAGTCTCATTACATAATACGTATATAAAATATTTTGCTATGTGAAAACATTTCTTTTTCAGGTCACTTTGCCTTGGTGGGGGATGGCTGGTGTGTTAAAAATAAAATATTCTCACTATCTAAACTAGCGGTGTGCCAAAGTGTCGAGAGGTATCGGCTAATTTTGATTGCATCAGTATTGGCCTAAAACCGAGTTTGAGTATTTGCCAGTTTTGATAGCATTGATATCAGTTCCAGTATCTGTGGGTATCGGCTAATTGTGGTAGTATCAGTATCAGCAAAAATTTGGTATCATTCTAGCCTTAATCTTAACAAAAACTTCCATAAGAAAAAACAGTGAAGGATTATAGATATCATGAAATTTTATTGTACATATAACTTTTTACTTGTATTCATGCCATCTCTCCTCTGTATTTAATAATTTCTGTTATAACCAAGAACCTCTTTGTGTGATACAGTATTTTGTATCTTTGCATGTCTTTCTAGTACTTTTTCTTTATATTTGTTCTCTTTCACAGTTCTCTCAATTACTTCTTGCTTTCACTCTGTTTTAAATTATGACTCCATACCCTCCTTGTCTTAACTCTTTTTTCTTTCTTATTGTTCCTCTTTGTCCTTTTTTTTTGGTTCAAAAGAATTCCTATAAGTATTTACAAGGTTTTCCATGAGGAAGTGGAAAAGAATTCTTCCTCTGTAAGCCGTCTTTCTTCTTTCAATGCACCGGCCGTATCCTACCGAGGCAGGATGGCCCAAGAGGAAAAACAAAAGTTTCTCCTTTTAAATTTAGTAACATATGCAGGAAAAGGTGTTACTAGCCTCTTGCTTCATTTTAGCCTCCTCTTACGACACTCATAGCTTACGCAGGAAGAATTTTATTCCACTTCCCCATGGAAATAAGAAGAAATAAACCAGAAGAAAATCCACAGGCGTGTATACACCTACCATCTGACTTATGACCAAGCTTGGTTCCGACCAACCGGTTGTAAGTCAAAATGGACATAAGTTGAACCTTTGAAAATTGCCAACATACTGGGTAGGGCATAATGTCAAAACTTTCCTATATAAACTACCTACATAGTACTGTAATGTAATGTACAATCATTATTTCATTCTTTTTACCATGATTTACTTCTATTGTATAATTTTAATTATTTATGTACTGTATATAATGTATACATGGTAGTGAACTGTATTGTAAATTTTACATCACATACAGTATCATATGTTACCGTTATCTTTATGTATTGTCGACACAGTGGAATGGAAGAATACCACTGGTAGTGTCATCCTGCCAGAATGTTGTATAACCTATACCCTAAGTAAAGAGAAACAACTCTGGAACATGTGTAATACGTATCCGGGTGGGTGGGTGGTTGGTTGGCTGGTTGGTTGGCTGACTGAATGTGGCTCTCTCTCTCTCTCTGTCTCTCTCTCTCTCTCTCTCTCTCTCTCTCTCTCACAGGTAAACGTAAGTAAAGTTATCATACATAGTATAAATTACCTAGGATAATCCAAAAAATCCAGACAAAGTGCTATACAGTGGATCTGTGCTCCAGTGCCCTAAATTAATAATATTAATAATAATTATTATTATTATTACAATAATACATATGTACTAATAATTATTATTATTACAATAATACATATGTACTAATAATTATTATTATTATTAAACTATAATATAACAATCGTGTCCACTCATTACTTACCTTAAAATATCTGTAGTCTTAATATAGAGTGAGAGGTGAGTAAACAAGATTAAATGAGAGAGAATGAGAGGGTAGAAGGTTCACGAGTTATGTAAACAAACGTCGATGTTGTTGTTACCAGCCAGGACACGAATGGTTTTTGTTCACTCTTTCAAGCCGACCAGAAAAACATCTCATATTTGTTAATTTATATGTTTATATGTTATGTAGCATGTTTATTATATAATTTTGAAAAAAAAATCATAGATGGATTAAGCCAAATGTCTATATTAACGTTTTATACACATTTAATGTGCCTCGGTGATTATTATTGTCTTATTATCATTATTAATATGGTGTCTTCAAGACCAATCACATTCTTAATGAGTGGCTCTGAGACAGACAAGCAGACAGAAAGACACACAGGTAGACAGAAAGACAGACATACAGGTAGACAGAAAGACAGACACACACAGGTAGACAGAAAGACAGACACACACAGGTAGACAGAAAGACAGACACACAGGTAGACAGAAAGACACACACAGGTAGACAAAGACAGACATACAGGTAGACAGAGACAGACACACAGGTACAGAAAGACAGACACAGGTAGACAGACACACACACAGGTGGGCATAAAGACAGACACAGAGGTAGACAGACAGACACACAGGTAGACATAAAGACAGACACACAGGTAGACAGAAAGACACACAGGTAGACAGAAAGACACACACAGGTAGACAGACAAACAGATGCATAGAGATACAGACAGACACAGATATACAGGCAGACAGATACAGACAGGTTTATGTGCAACAGTGAAAACAAATAGAGAGTTGGAGAGTAAGAGCCTTTCTTGCCACAATCTCCAGTGCAAGATTCAGACTTCATCTTAGGGGCCATGGTGAAATTTACTGTCCAGTTAGTACAGTTAATACAGTATGATGCTAGTGATAGGGCAGGGTTACTCAAAACTGATGCTGCCTGCATGACGCATTTGCCGCCGCGAGTATTGTCAAATATTGTACAGTGGTGTGCATCAGCCGGCCCAGCCCAGCTGCCAGATGCACGGTCGTAAGTCAAGTGGACATATGTCGAGCAGGTCGTAAGTCGGATGGTAGGTGTATATATATGCTTGTACATGCATGTGTAATGTGACCTAAGTGTAAGTAGAAGTAGCAAGACTTACCTGAAATCTTGCATGTTTGTGAGAGAAAAAAGACACCAGCAATCCTTTTCTTTCTTTCAACATACTGGCTGTATCCCACCGAGGTGGGGTGGCCCAAAAGGAAAAACGAAAGTTTCTCCTTTTACATTTAGTAATATATACAGGAGAAGAGGTTACTAGCCCCTTGCTCCCGGCATTTTAGTCGCCTCTTACGACACACATGGCTTATGGAGGAAGAATTCTGTTCCACTTCCCCATGGAGGTAAGAGGAAATAAACAAGAACAGGAACTAGAAAGTAAATAGAAGAAAACCCAGAGGGGTGTGTGTGTGTAGTGTGACCTAAGTGTAAGTAGAAGTAGCAAGATGTACCTGAAATCTTGCATATTTATGAGACAGAAAAAAAGGACACCAACAATCCTACCATCTTGTAAAACAATTACAGGCTTTCGTTTTACACTCACCTGGCAGGACGGTAGTACCTCCCTGGGTGGTTGCTGTCTACCAACCTACTACCTAGGCCTCTGTAAGCCATACATGTCATAAGAGGTGACTGAAATGCCTGTAGCAAGGGGCTAGTAACCCCTTTGCCTGTATAAATTACTAAGTTTCAAAAGAAAAGCTTTCATTGTTCTTTTAAGGTTACCCTGTCTTGGTGGGATGTGGCCAGTTTGTTGAAAAAAAATAATTACAGTGTATTATATCCTACCTCAGCTCACTTTATAGTCTGATATTATGAATAAATTTTGAAAGTTAATATATAGGTGTATACTTTTTATTAGGCAGTGTACATGCAGTAGAGAAATCTCATAATGTGTTGGATGCATTCTTGAAAGTATGTGCCTAAAGGAAATTAGCAGTATATGAGGTGATGCGTATGTGGGAAAAATAGGGTTTTGTTTTAGACCTTCAATTTTACATTTTTTTTTTTAAATCTTATACTAGGTATTACAGATTGCTAATTTCTTTCCTAATATTGTACTTGTTCGTTGACATGCATAGAGGGTTGATACAGCCCTGATGGGCTGTAGCTTTTGTATTGATGTGGGTGGCTGTGGATTTTTGTGTTGATGTGGATGGCTGTGGTTCTTGTGCTGATGTGGATGCAGAGTTGCCAGTAATTGGTTTTATCAGAGTGCTGAAGTATTTTGTAACACATCTCTGGTACATGATTTTTCAGAGTTATTGTTAAGTAATGTTTAATACCCAGGGTATCTACTTCCTGGTTGAGTGCTAGGCCACTTGTAGTCCTCCTCACTCCAGCCCCAGAACACTCATACCTTGTACCATCTTGTACTTTGCAGCAAGCATTAGCAGCAGAGGTAAACTCCATGCGGGAAGGATTAGCAGAGGAGCGTTTCAGGTGTGATCGTCTCGAAGAACAAATAAATGATTTAACTGAGCTACACCAAAATGAGATGGGAAACCTTGTGACAAACATGTCAGACATGGAAGAAAAGGTACAATATCAGAGTGAAGAACGAATACGGGATCTTCATGAGATTGTGGAAAACTGTCATACTCGTGTAAGTGATTAATTCTGATTTTCTGTCATTGGGATTATTAGGCTGAAGTAAGGGATATTAATACGCAAATAACCCGCACAGGAGAGAGGGAAGCTTACAATGAAGTTTCGGTCTGACTTGGACCATTTACAGAGTCCAAGTCAGACTGAAACATCATCATAAGGCTCTCTCTCCTATGTGTTAGTTATTTGTGTATTGTTCCAGTCACGGTATTGTGTCTTTTTGTTCTTTAAGGGATATTATTATAAAATTCTTCCTTAGGGTGCATCTTCAACCATCAGACATTGTAAAGCTACGAGGGTAAATGGAGTGTGGGGCAAGATGAACAGTGGAAAGTGATAGAATAATTGTTATACTTGTATTACATAAAATGGAAAACTTGAACTTCCTTTGATTATTTTAGAATAGCAAATGAAATAAATTACTTTGATTAAAACATAAAATACTGAAGACCTGTTCCAAATCTGCACAGTATATGAAATACATACGTATACTGTATTTATAACACGCTCATAAAATGTTATGAGAGTGTGAAGGCATAGTACAATGTGCAAGATAAATCCAGTTCTAAACACAAATAAGTAATTTTATGTTTTTTATCCACAACTACTGAATACCATTTTTATTTTATGCAGATTTCTCGGATGGAACACCAGCAAGCACAGCAGCAGCAACAGTATCTGACGCTAGAAGGTTTAGAGAACAGCAATGCACGCGCTGTTTTTGTAAAGCTCATCAATGTTTTATTAACTGTGCTTCAGGTAACTATACACACAGCTGCTGATGGCAGGAACTAATAGCACTTTTCATTATACATATGTTGTTTCTAAATATTTGTAAGTATCAGTGAGAAATATTGAGTAATAGTGTGTAGTAAAACTGTAGGTATACAAGGCATTGTGGGACAGACAAGAATAAGCTCCACCACGGCCAAAATTTGGGTTAGTGAACAAATCTTTTCCTTAACGTTTTGTCTGTGGAAATGTGCAGATATTGTCTTGTGTATCTCTAAGTTATTCTCAGAGTCCCATAACAAAGTATAGTAACTTGAGCTTCATAGCACTGATGTTCCCCATACCTGCATTTTTCTCCGGTGTTTTAATTTGGCACTTATTCTTTTCTGCCATGCAACCCCTCATATATTATAGTGTATGCTATATGGTACAGTGTGCATCACATTGTTATATTGCTTTAAATTGTTAGTTTTAAAGAATATTAGATACTGATTATTCTTTACATCAGGTTGTGGATATATAATGAAAATTTTTGAACTTTTTTCAGGTCTTGCTATTGGTTGTTGCAACTGTGGCCAATATCCTGACCCCACTACTACAGACTCGAACTCGCCTTGTTGTTACTGCAGTGCTCGTTTTCCTCCTCATCTTTGTTTACATACAATTACCCGAGTTGAGAGAAATGTGGTACGCGGTAGTCGATCGATATCTAAAGTTTGTCTCGTTAAAATAAAACATTGTTCTGATGAGCATACTGTACTATGGTGTTAAATGAACAAAAATACTCTACTGGAAAACTGAGCATATAAGTGAAGAACTTGTTGCTCTTAAAAGTGTGTATGCTCTTAGCAGTGCTGTTAGGAGAACCATTGACTTGTATTCCAAGTGACTTATTTTCTACATTTTTCAAGTCGACACAACTCGTCTGTCCAATAACCACTTTAAGCAAGAGGGTCATATTGATTCCTTAGCTCAAATATTATCAGATAAGTGAGTTTGACTTGGTATTGGCGCAAGTATGCCATGGTGTTCTCAAGTTGGCTTTTTAAACATTTTCAACTATGTAGCAAGTTGTTAAGTATTTATGATGAATTACAGAAAAGTCTCAGATGTAATATGATATTATGTTTTGAACAAATCACTTAAGAATGATCTAGAGCTGCATGTTGAGAGTGACATAAAGAGAGAGATGAAGAGCTTAGTCATACACTTGAATGTGAATTACCTGTGTGTGTGTGTGTGCATGCATGCGTGTGTATGTTGGCATGGTACTGAAGTGATCTTATAGACAATTTCCTCCAGCTACAGATGCAGCTTGGAAATGAAGAAGATGGTTGGCTCTTGTGGGGCTCGTGTGTGATAGCGTGAACCAAAGTTGGACAAATAAGGTATTGCGTTTATTTCTTTGTTTTTCTATTTATTTCTGAGTGAAATGCTAAACCCCTGTTTTGGGTGCAGCAGCAAGGTTAAATGGTCAAAGGGGTACATGTAGTTAAGAGATCAGTGGTCAGCATGAAGTTACTGTAAATCACTAAGTATTTTCTAGATTAAAGTGCTCACTTAGTTGTATTAAATGAATGAACCCTTGGAATCACATATTCCTGCCAGTACATTATAAAATTTGAGCAACTGGTACCACATGCTGACAACAGATCCAATACCAGTACTTTGCTAATGCCTGATGATTTACTCTCCTCGGCTATCTACTTTTTATGGAACATCTGTCTGTTCCTGTTGTCTTTAATTGGTCTGTGATGTTCTGTTAATTAGAACAGACCACTTTTTCTGTCGTAAGTAATTTTTTGCTCTCTTTCTGTTATTCATAACAATGTTTGTTTTCACTTGTTATTTTAGGGTGGTTAAACAAATTTAGCAGATTTGATATTATGGAATGAAGATATTTTGGGTTATTGAATGGTGCTGGTGGAAATACATGCTGTTCACAGTGGTTCTTTGGTTTATACTGAATAATTAACATAATCATGGGTGTCTGCCAGCCTGATTGTGGCTGTCTACCAGCCTGGTTGTGGCTGTCTACCAGCCTGGCTGTAGTTGCCTATCAGCCTTGTTTTTTGGGGGGGTTGACCAGCATGACTCTGGGTATCTACCATCATGACTGTGGGTCTACCAGTATGGCTGTGGGTGCCCACTATAATACCGGCATATAATCCACACCTGTCATTCATGTTAACATTTTAATATTGGATGTTTTGCAGAAACATCTGAAAAGTTTATGGACTGAAATCATTATCACAAGTCCAAACAACTGACCAAATGTCTATCAATCCATTTAGTATTAACAAAAATTCTTAGTCACTGAATTGCCAAGAAAATGTATTTATATAAAAGAAAACCTGTTGTTAGTGCAAGTGTTAGAACCTTGATTGATAACATGGTCAATAATAACTTAAGACAAATAATAATGTAAAAGCTGGGAGCTTACAAATATAATATTGATATGCTCCACAACAAGAAATACAAAGTCTAGGAAGTAATTTAAGCAATGGTGATATTCAGTGACTATATAAAACTAAAAAGCTTTTAGATGTAGATTTGCCATGTACTTACATACAATCAGTTGTTAAATTTGTGTTGAGGTCCCCTGAGTGTGAGTAAAGAATGGGGGATACATTTATTGTTTATATCCCCTGAGTTACTAAAGAATGGGGGTTTTTGCTTTTAGAGGTTGCTCTGAGTGTGAATAAAAAAAAATGGGGGGCACACTTTGTGTTGAGGTCCCTAATTGTGAATAAAGGAAGAGATATACTTTGTGTTGAGGTCCCCAAGTGTGAATAAAGAGTGGAAAATACAATGTTCAGGTCCTGAGTGTGAGTAAAGAGGGGCGATAGTGTTTTAGGTCCTCTCGATTGAGTAAAGAGGGATGATGTGTTCAGGTCCCCTTGAGTGAGATTGAAGTTCTCCTGTATGCAAGTAAAGTGGGAAGGATACACTAGAAGTCCCTCTGAGTGAGAGTTAAAGGGAGAATATACCAAGGATAGCAACATTGATGCTATATCTTGGCAAAGTCATTGTAATAAAAATAACAATATCAGATATAAGATACTATAGCAAGAAAAATGCTAGTAAAACGTGAGAATGACAAGTGTTGGTCTCATTGGCAATTTATAGCCAAGCCTCAGTATTGAGGCTCTTATTTATTTATCCTAATGTCACCCTTATGTACATTTTATAATATGGGTCTTGGTAGACTCACTCTATGATATTGTTTTATGGGGGTTGCATAAGTTATGACTATTATATATATGCACTTTTTTTGTCACAAATATTGTAGATTCCATCTATGGCAGACCATCAAGAAACTTTGTATAAGAAATTGAGTCCCAAGTTGTAATGGTATTAATGGTAAAAAAAAAAGTAAATTGGCTTTGTGGTCAAGTGCTGCTGCTTACATAAGTGTTGCCTTTGGGTAGGGATTTATTCATTAAAGTTGATGTTGACTTGAAAGCACATGTGTACAGTAATACTATAGTAACAGCGGCTTCTGGCATCTGGGAGGATAAATATGTTTTAGGGTGCAATTTTTTCTTTTGCTGTTCATATTATTTTAAATTTTTACTCGAGTGCTACGCTTTAGCAGGCAAAGCACATATTTTTTCATTCATTCCTTTGGTGCCAGTCCTTTATTCCATTGGCTGGGCAATATGGCTGCCAAGTTCTTTACAGTATTGTATTACTTTTGCTGACTTTATACAAACTGTTTATGCATAAGTTTGAGATCTGATTTTTTTTCCTTTTTTGTAAATTCCTGTCACAGTTTGAGGCCAGTCTGGCACAGTAGGCAGAGTATATTATATTAGTTTTAAGTGATTTTTTTTCTTAGAAATTTCTAGTAAAGATGACACTCCATTGGTACTTTCATTTCTCATATACTATTTATTGTTGATAGGGATACTTGCATACATGATACTATACAAATCCAGTAAGATGTGATTTGCAAAACTGGGAAATGAAGACTAAGTCAGAATACTGTGGTCATAACAGGTCAGTATTAACACACACTTTGGAAAGAAAACTTCAAGAAATAAAGCAATGTAAATTGGAAGCTTAGGCAAAAGTGAGGTGAAATGATGATGAGACCTCAGCTGTAAACAAACATTTTAAAGGGAAAATTTCATAATTATGTCAGGAAAGGTGTCTCTCTCTTGGTTTTTTTTTTTTTTTTTTTTTTTTTTTAAATTCTGCATTATTATTAAATTCAAAGGGTAGTGCTAAATCCATAAGTGTCATACAGTATTTCACTTAGGGAGTAGGAGGGGTGAGGGGGTAATAGTGTTTGATATCAAGAAAAAGGTAGTTAAAGTTTCTGAATCAAAAACCCTTCACCAGCACCAAGGCATCCACACCCTTGAAAAATATATAATTCTGTAAAAGCAGCTCTGTATCTTCTTGAATTTGTTGTCTTACACTTTCAAAGCAAGGTACATGTAATAAAGCAATGCCTGTAATACTTGCTTACCCTCAATGGGGATGTCTTGATGCTAATGAAAAGCTTTTGATCCAAGGAATTGGAGCTACCCCCCTCCTTAGATCAAGCCTAAATACCTCCCATTCTCCAGGTACTGTATAACCCTTATCAGTTCAGTGTTTCCAAAAGAATAAATGATACTGTAATTCAAACAATTTATTACCTCACTTGTCCAGTAGTTATGTGAACATTTCCCCTTCAAGGGGGGCTCCTTGGCGTGGTGAAGAGGCTCTTGGTCTGAGGATTTAGACCTGTCGGTCTCCTTCCTCAGACCAAGCCTAATTACCCCCCAATCCCCCGTTCTCTATCCCATCCTTCCCATCCTCCCCTTTTTCCTTTCCTCCTCCTCCTCCCCACCCCTCCCTTTTGCCCTTCCTTTTTGGCCTTTAGGATTTTTTTTTCCACAGGCACGCTAGCTCCTAAGTAGGGGAAAGGGTACCGGGGTCCATCCCATTCCGTTGAGGTTCTTGGCGGTGGCGTAGTTTGCCGTGAAATCTGGATTGCCTGGGGATGTCCCGATCCCTCTCCAGTATCCCGGAGGGTGGCTTTGGGTGTCTCTCGGGCGACAGGTGTATCTCTGGAAGCCACCTTTCGGATTCCGGGGGTGGTGGCCGAAGGAGGTATGCTTTGTGGCAGATTTCCGGCCGCCCTCTCTTTTGTCCACTGAGGTAGCTTGGCAGATGTGAGGTTGCTATCCCGGATTGCTGGTTTACTGGCATATAGGGTAGGGTATGGCACGGGTTCCATGCTGCATCTGCGCTACTTGCGGTGCTGAGGTCCTCTTGGGCGCGGAGGGAGATTTCTGGCCCTTTCATTCCTCCTAGGAACTATCCCTCCCTGGTCCCCCCTTTTTTTATTCTTTTTTTTATTTTTATTTTCTTTTCTTTCTTTTTTTTCTTAAAAACAAAAAGAAAGAAGTAACCTAACCATGGCAGCCCTAGTCCATGAACCTGCTACCCCCGGGCCCCTTCTTGATACCGCACCCCGTTCTGACCCCTCCTCATCTTTGGACCACTCTTCGGATGCTCCTCATGCCTCTGTACCTCTTGCCGGTGCTGTTTCCTCACCCACTTCAGGTACTGAGGCCTCGACTGACTCCTTCGATTTATCTGACCTTCGCTCTCCTCTGACTATGCTTCCGGCCTCTCCCTCTACTGTGCGGCAATTTTCGAATCGCCAGCCCGTTCCACGTCTAAACGCCAACGAAAATTACCTGACGATGATACTTCTCCACCTTCTCGTTCTTCTCAGAAAAGATCGACACGTCCTTCACTACCTTTCCACGCTCAGTTTCAGACTGCACAATGGACTAAATTCTTCACTTTACGACCGACTTCCTCTACTGCCTAACTTTCTGACCACAGTATTGGCAAGGCACTCCTACGCCATGTTGGTAAAGATATTTCTTTTCATGCTCTTAAGAGAGGTACGCGCATCATCACCGTACAGAATGCTACCCAGGCTCATGAGCTTTCTCGTCTTTCCCATATCGATACTTTTCCTGTCACTATTGAAAAACATCATTCCCTCAATTCTTGTAGTGGTACCGTCATTCTGCCCCATACCATAGTTCAACAAAATTTCCAGACATGTGGCACTGACATTCTTGAACAGCTGGAACTCCAAGATCTCCCAATCCTCAAGGTAGACACTTATGTTCTTCCTGCCTGTGGGCGGAGACGATACCCTAGCAATGTGGCTCGTTTAACATTTGACAGCCGTGAACTCCCATCCTCAATTTATGTAGCAGGACATCGGTTACAAGTTCGAAAGGTGATCCCTACACAGCAACAGTGTAGAAATTGCTGGCGATTTGGCCATCCAGCGAAATATTGCAGATCTATCACGGAATGCCCGGTCTGTGGTGCCGATGACCATTCTAATATGTCTTGCAATCGACCTCCCTCTTGCCTTAATTGTCATGAGGCTCACCCTTCGTACTCTCACCATTGTCAAGCCTACTTAAACGAGCAGGAAATCCGTTACCTCAAAGAGGCAGAAGGTCTCCCTTATGCCATGGCAGTTTCTCATCTCCACCTCCAAGAGAGACTACCTCGTGTTTCTTATTCCCGTGTTTCAAAACGTCCCCCCACTTCTGGGATCCCATCTTCTGCAACCACCTCAGTGGTTACTTCTCCCATAGTCACTCCTGTATCTAATTCTTTTGCTGTCCTAGGCTCAGACATCCCTACTACAACGCCTCAGTCTGATCCCGCTTCTTCATGTTCTCCCTCACAAGCCTCAGTAGCGACGAGATCTCGTATGACACCTCCTCCTAATCGTCCCTCTACTTCTCAAAAGTCAAAAAAAGGTCCGTTAACACCTCCTACCCATCTTCCACCTCCTCATTTTACCTTCCCTGTCTCTGTACCTGGTTCTTCCCCTCTCACTGGCTCTGTTACAAGTGTAGAGGTTCACCCTCCTCCTCATACTGTACCTTCCTCCCCTGTTCCCTCCCAAGTTTCTTCCTCTTCTGCCACCTCCCAGGTTTCTGCCTCTTCTGTCCCCTTCCACGCTACTCCAGTTCCCTCCACCCTTTTGCCCCCCCCCCTACCTTAGTACAGTCCATTACAGTTCCAATCTTTACTCATCCTCCCCCTACCATTTCCAATATTGTCTCCCGTACGACGTCTCTGAATTCCGAAACACTTGAAGCAATCTCTGAATATATTGCAGAGACCAAACCATCAATGGACACTGATCCACCCTCCGTTCCTTCTCTCTCCTCTGCTCCATCTGCGCAACTCCTTTCTTCACAGCACACCATTCCTTCGCTGCTTGAACGTTTTCCACTGCCACCGCATGTGGACTTTCCTAAACCCTCTAGTCCGTAGGAACCCTTACCTCCGGATTTCAGGTATCTTTATCATTGCCAATCATGGCCTATTTACAGTGGAATATACGCGGCCTCAGGGGTAATCGGGGTGAGCTTCAGATGTTACTCTCCCAGTTTTTCCCTGTTGGTGTTTGCTTACAGGAACCAAAATTACACTCTGCTGTTATCTCTCCCATCTTAAGCTATAATTTATTGCATTCTTCAGATCCTTTTCCAGATGGGACCTTTAATGAAAGTGCCCTTCTTCTATGCACTGATATTCCGTACCATCAGCTATTTGTTCGTACTTTGCTGCATTACACAGCAGCCCGTATCCACTTACATAGGTGGTATACGCTCTGTTCTTTATATCTCTCTCCTTCTCGGGCATTATCTATTCCGGATATTGCCTTTCTTGTTTCGTCATTACTGCCACTGATTCTGTTTCTTGGCGATTTTAATGCCCACCATTTCCTCTGGGGGGGTCTCACTGTGATTCCCGTGGCATTCAGTTAGAGGCTTTTCTTGCCACCCACCCCCTCCATGTTTTAAATACAGGTACTCACACCCATTTTGATCCTCAGACTTACACTCTCTCTTGCATCGATCTCTCAGTCTGCTCTTCCTTCGCCGCATTAGACTTCACTTGGTCTGTTCTCCCGGACTTACATGACAGCGATCATTTCCCAATCATTCTTACTTCCCCTTCATATTCACCACCTCTTCGCATCCCACGCTGGCAATTTGATCAGGCAAATTGGAACCTTTACTCACACCTAACTGTTTTTAGAGAGGTTCCTTCTTCTTCCTCCATCGATGAGCTTTTACACCTCTTCTCGTCCTCCGTTTTAACTGCAGCTTCTAATTGTATACCCCAAACTTCGGGCAGACATTCTCAGAAATGCGTGCCTTGGTGGTCTCCTGCTTGTGCTCGTTCAGTACGTTTGAAACACACTGCATGGGGCAGGTACCAGTACAATAGAACCACAGAGAGACTTCTTGATTTTAAGCAGAAGCGTGCAATCGCTCGCCGTGTCATCGGTGACGCTAAACGCACTTGCTGGCAAGATTGTCTCCACCATCACCTCTGCTTCCTCTATGAATGCAGTCTGGAAAAAAAGTACGAAAACTGAGTGGTAAATATTCTCCTGACCCGGCTCCTGTTCTGCGGGTTGCCGGTGTTGATATAGCAAACCCACTAGATGTTGCCAATGAAATTGGCAATCATCTGGTCCATATTTCTCAGGGACTCCGTCTATGCCCCTCATTTCTTTCCTCAAAGTTTGCCAGAGAGTTAGCACCCTTGGACTTTTCTTCTCTCAGAGAAGAACAGTATAATGTGCCTTTTACACTTCAAGAACTGGAGGCAACACTCTCAGCTTGCCGATCATCGGCAGCTGGGCCCGACGACATTCATATTCGTATGCTACAACATTTACATCAGTCAGCCCTTGCAGTCTATTATGCCTTTACAATCTTATTTGGTCACAAGGAGTTCTTCCACAGCTGTGGAAATCCGCCTTTGTTCTCCCTTTCCGCAAACCAGGCACTACGGGACATGAAGCC